AACACACTTTTTTCTGTAACTATTTTTCTAATTAGCCTGTTGACATTAAGTCCAATCCAGATGTTGGTTAGAAGCAAGTAATCAAATAAAAAGATATCCTAATGAATTTTTGTATATTTAATATGTAGTAAAATGGAATGAAGCAGAGAAATGCTAATAGATTTTAGCTATAGCCACCCCAAGATGTTATTAAATAGGGACACTAGCCACCTCTAGACCTAAACATTGGTGTGGTATTTTTGGGTTGATTTATAACATTCATAACATTAACATTCCTGTTATTTGGTATAATCTGAGCAGACTATATGCACAGTGTTTCAAAGACTCAAATGTTCTGCTTCAAAGGTTAAATTAGTTTCAGCCAATCTTTTCTTCAGCAGTGGAGTCTTGCTGAGAAAAAAGAGGCCATTGCTCAAAATTAAGGTCAAATCCTGTACATTTAATTTTCAGTTTAAGACCCTACGAATCTCACTGGAACATTTAAAGTTTTAGAAATATTTTTGTATCGTCTGTCAGTATGTTTTGCAACAACAAAACATACTGACCCATCATTCCTCATGGGCCATGGTAATAAGAAAGCTCTTTTCAGACAATTGGTTAGGACCACCAGCTGCGACTACTGTGTTATGATAGGAGGAAGGAAAGCTTTATAAAAGCTGATAGGTTCCAGCTATATTCTTGGTTTATGTGCCTCTTTGCTATTTATTTTCTTAACTTGCACCAGCTTTTTGTCATTCCACTTTAGTAAAGTAACTTTTGCTGTGCTTTATTTCTTTGCATATGTGGATCACCTGGGTTGCTATTGAATTTCGAATAATAATTCAAACTATATTTATTGCTAAAAATGTTGACACGTTATGTGTCACTTTGCTTTTATTACTTCTGTCTTTCTTTTTATATTATTATAACCCCATTTTCCATCTTTTCCACCTCTGTGTGTAGTTTTTTTGCACTGCTCTGCTCTGTGTTTCCCTCCCATCTCACAGTTGACTTACTTCCTCTTTCTCCGTGCTGTCATGACAGAGATGCAGGCAGAAGTAGAAAAGAGTGTCGAGTTAAACAGAGACGCACATCTAGGCCAACACAACTGCCTCCAGGGATGTGCGTATATGTGTGTGTGCATCTGTGAATGTGCAAAGTTTGCAACACAGTAAGCTATAAAATGGGAACCAGAGAGAAATAGACACCCGTAACTGAGAGGAAGGTCGGCAGACACTGGCATAATTATGCCTACTGTAAATAAATAAAACAGCGATCAAAAGAGGGAAAGTAGATTCTGTGCTCTGTAAGAGAATCAGACAAGGAAAATAGTACATCAGTAAAAAGCAAGCAAAAAACAAAGTGACAAGTCACAACAGTCCTGTAGCAGTTCATGGAGGAGGCTATGACTTTTCAGCGGGATCTTGCTGCAAAGCAGGGTGCCATTCTTACATTATTAATTATTAAAATTAATAATTGATTATATTGTGTGACAAAAACACTTTCTTGAAGCATAATTTTGTTATACAAATGTTGCTAGACATGTTTTTGACATCAAAAAGGAAAGACAATCCGGACTCAAAAGTTTTATTGAGGATGGCAACTTGCAAGTGTTCAGAGTGCAAATGTCATGTCTGTGTGGAAACTGATGTAACATTTCTGAATTATCATTTATAAACACATGTGGGTATTTAAACTAGTATTTTGGATACCATAGAAACATTTTCATTAAGTTTCTGGAACTGAACAACACTAGGCAAATTTAAAATCATGTAGCAACTTATATTTTAGAAGGAAAGATTTGAAATGGAAAAGAATCACAAAACTCCTAATAAGAAATACCCACATCCTAGGCAGGTAATCAGCAAGTGCAAATTGGAAGACCATACTGTCCACTGTTAGATTAAATTCTAACTACAGAAAATCATTTGAACTTGTTTACTACACAAAATTTCCCCCTTGAGGGGACATCAAACTCACTTCAGTTGTTAGAAGTGCACCACATGAAGCTGAACCAGGGAAAACCACCTTCAAAATGTTGAGTAATTATCTGCTTTTAAAAAGGGTGGTGCCTGTTTCCAGTGGTGATTGGGTGAGAGATAGGTTACCTCCTGCACAGATTGCCAGACGATGCACACACTCACACCTCAGGACAACGTGGAGAGACCAATTAACAGTCATGTTTTTGTTTGACATGAGCACATCTCAACCAAATATGTCCTCCCTTCATTGGCCTCCTGCACATTCTTCAGAATTAATTTGATGTTGACTTATAAATGCCTAAATGCTCTTGAATATGTACTCCAGCCTCCTCTTCCTGTGCAGGTCCTTAGATCAGCCAGCCAGCTGCTTTTAGTTGTTACAGAAAGTGACAGAAACTGGGAGGAAATCCGAAACTTTGGAACATGTTGCTTTTAAATATTAGACGTCTTTGTATTCAGTTTTTAAGTCTCTTACTGTGAAAACACAGAGCTCCCTGATCAAATGTAGGTACCTAATAACTAAAATTTATTAATTTCTATGCACACTATGACCTCTCGGTTGACACCTAAGATATTTGAATTTCCTTACACAGAAATGAAGCCGTTCTGCTGTGATTTAACTTGCTCTTCTGGACATTTTTGTGTACATAACTTCTGTTATCTAAATCTGGAATTTTCCTACGAATAACCACAGCAGCGTTAATCCCCTTATCTTGTATTTTTTTGTTCTTACACATATGTCAGAGTCCAACAGAGGAAAGCTTTTTGAAACAGAGAGAGCTAATTTAGTTGACCAAGCAGCATGGGAGCATGTTTTTCAATTTGTATTTAGCTCCCCTGATTTCACCATCACCACGGAGATGCTTTCAGTGTGTCAGGCGTGGGGCCCTCCCACTCGGCCAGACGCAACCTCCTGAAACAGCTGCTCACGCTGCCATTAGTTTGTATCGGCAATATGTTTTTTTGTGTGTTTGTGTTTTGGATCTTGTATTGCTCTTGGGAATATTTCCCAAAACTCCAGTAGTGCATGAAAAATTAAGTCAAATCACCAAAGCTGGTGAAATGATTTCTCAATTCTCGTTTCTGTAAAGGTATTAGTGCATGTGGGGTTATTGGGTTAGGTCAGCTCAGACCCGGTGGGTTGGAGGTTGCACATCTAATTATGCTTATATTACATTGCTATAAAAAGAAACACAGTAAGAGACAATATGTAGTGATGTTTGTATGTTTGTAGAGAAGTACTGTGCACATTAAGCTGTAGACTGTATGTTTTATGCAGACATAGGAGAGACTAGTGCTATAAATAAAACAGGGCTGCAGCGCGCTCACTTGCGGAATAATCTATCTGACACTATGGAGGAAGCCTGAGAGAGGCGATGAAGGAGATGGAGAAAAGAGCAAAGAGACGGAGAGACTCATAAAGGATTTTAAACAGGGGGGCTGAGAAGACAATGAGAGAAAGTAAAAGAGGTAGCGGTAGGCAGACTATCTTGTTAGTTTAGTAGTTTAAGGCTCTTCCAGGTACATTAACCAAAAATACAAAAGTTGTTTTTGAGTTCTTCGCTCCTGTATGTAATGTTTCCTAATAACTTTCTCTAAATGTTAGCCTACAAAACTGCTAGGAGGGTTCTTCTATATGACATTTTTCTCAGGGGGAAATATTTGCTGACTGAGCATGAAGGGAAAACCCCTCTGTAAAAAACACTCTGTAGCGAATATGCTCTATTTCCAGGGTGGTGACCGGAATCAACGGATTCTCAGCTTGACCTGACGTGATCTTTTTTTTTTTTTTTTTTTTTTTTTTTTTGTGTGCTTACAGTGCTTCGAAAACGTGTTTCTTCCATACAAATTTTGTCTGTTTTTACTTTTTTTTTGATACACTTATGCTTTATACCATGAAACAAACATTGAGATCAGACTCTGCATAAATAGAAAATGCAGTTTTGAAATTATAATTATATTTATTACAAGAAAAAAAAATAACTCCAAACCAATTTGGTTCCATGTGAAAAAGTAATTACCCAGAATTATGATTGACCAAATTTTGCAGTGGCCTAGTTAAAGTCCAGACTTAAATCAAATGCAGATGCTTTTGATGGGGCATTCAAGTAACATGGCTAATTAAAATAAATCTTTGATTTCCACTGATGTGTTCTCACTTCTAAAATTATATTAGATCCCCAAAAAAGGAAAGCATTAGAATGAATCATTATCTATTTAAAAAGTCTTTCACTTGTAGTTCTGAGAGCAGCTTGCAAAACAGACAAGGCATTTCAAAATAAGACATGCTTGTTTCAGTATTTTTTTCTCATGGAACATGCAAACACTCAGATCAACAATCTTCTCAGAGGGAACATCTGAAAATAATATTTATGCTCTCATGTATGATGCTGCATATGCTCAAACATTAACGCTTTGCTGCTTGTGACCACCGTGTTTATCTGCTGTGAGATTTACTGATAATTCATTATTTCAATTTAAACTATCAATACCTGTCCTGCTTCTCTGTTTGCAAACAAATGATAAGATATCACAATCCAACAAGAAACAGAGCAAGAAGGGAATTTGCTGAAGTGCTTTAGCATGTTTGAGTGCAAGGTTATAACAGTATCTCACCTTATTATAAAAGTAGCTAATGTCAGAAAACTAACTTTGGGACGACAGCCTCCAAGATTTTCTGTGTTGAGAATATTTTTAGCATAGAATATATAAGGCTCGCACTTGTGCTTTGTTAAAAAAAAATCTGATTTAAGTCATTTCGCTTATGTTATAAATATCTGAGTTCTTGACACAGCATGGACGTTAGATGTTAAAATTGAAACCTGTTGTATTACATGTAATAAGTCATGATATGAATTTATTATCAGATCAAAAAATTTTTCTGTTTTCACACTTCAGTAGGAGGCAAGCAGTCAAAACTCAGCTACTCATTGTTTATTTCATAATGAGAGGTTAACATTGAACACGAGCCACGATCCAGTATGTGAATGTAACTTAGAGAATGTATTCATTTTATTGCTTGTTTTGTTTTTCTGCCAGGTTATGGAGTTAAAAGGTCAGATGATCCATGTCCCTGAGTCCTGCTCCTTGATGTTTCTGGGCTCGCCGCGTGTTGATAAGCTCGAGGAGCTTATGGGCAGAGGTCTCCATCTGTCAGACATCCCCATCCATGATGCCACACGAGACGTTATCCTGGTAGGGGAGCAAGCCAAGGCCCAGGATGGCCTAAAGAAGAGAATGGACAAACTAAAGGTAAACAACAGCATAGAAAGAAATGTTAGCATTAAACTTCTCGTGATATAAATAATTTTTAATAATATAGACTGCTGTATTTTCCAGATTTGATTTATTATGATAACTTAGAAATGTTATTACTTCTAATATAATTATTGGCTTCTAAGTAAAGAGTGATTTAGGATGATTGAATCCTTCTGTGTAACATTGGTTCTGTATAAGCAGGTCCATTTGTCATCCAATATTCATTGAATTCTCAGCATCAGGAGTTCAAATTATTCAAATCCCATAGCAGCTTTTTGGAGTCTGCACATTAAATCACCTCTTTAAGACAAGATCTGGTCTCTTGACTTTAATTCTAAGAAATAAGCAGCAGATTGCAACTTGTTTCTGGGATGACAGTATGATGCTTCAGACCTCACTAATGCGTACACAGTAAATTCACTTTATAAACTAAACTGATATTCATCGGCCATGTTGACTGTAAAAAATGTGGCTTCAAAGCTTCTTGTAACATCTCAGTGGATGCTCACTGCATCAGTCTCAGTCTCTGCAACAACCCCGCCTCCTTTCCCCAGGCTGTAGCTATAAATAACTATCATATTTTGCATGCTTGAACAGTACTACAGCATTAGATCTTCAGAAAAGTTAGAAACAAGCAGATATACTCAGCTAAAAATAAACGTATGCACATACTGCAGCAGATTTCACTTGGCGCATTACTCCTAGCTTTTACCATTCTTGTCATTTGCTGCTTCATCAGTGCAACAAGTCTCCTGACCTCACTCTCTTGTTTCTCAGGCCACCTTAGAGAGGACACACCAGGCTCTGGAGGAAGAAAAACGAAGGACCGTGGATCTCCTGTATTCCATATTTCCGGGTGATGTGGCGCAGAAGCTGTGGCAGGGCCAGCATGTGCCAGCGCGTAAATTTGATGATGTCACCATGCTGTTCTCGGACATTGTGGGTTTTACAGCCGTGTGTGCCCACTGCACACCTATGCAGGTTATCTCAATGTTGAACGAGCTTTACACACGCTTCGACTACCAGTGTGGCATTCTGGACGTTTACAAGGTCAGTGAATGGACACACATGCATCTTTTTTATGTTCTTGGCTGCTTCACTTTAATAACGTAGGTTTAGTTGGGCATCCAGGTCTTGGTATGTTTCTAGTTATGCTGCACCCATTTCTGAATGATGAACTGAGATGTGGTATATGGGATCTTTAAAGCTTTGTATGTTGCTATATACCTGACAGAGCTCTGATGGTGTTTGTTCACTAATGTTCTCCAACTAACGCTTACAGCCTTCATAGAACAGCTTTGACTGTATGGAGATTTAAACTACAAACAAGTTTACTTTTTAATCATTTGACTTCTGCAGGGAAATTGTTGATTTTATTCAGGAGTATCAGAGTAGAGTGGACAAAATACTTTTTAAGCACCCTGTGAGTGTGTGTGTTAGAAACGTGGATAATAGCCAGTCTGTGAAAGCTTTCCAAAGATTCTGACACCTTCCTGACATCTTCTTATGGCTCCCCTACAAAAATGGGCTTCTCTTGTAATAGTTGTCAAATGTGTGACATTGCAGATAGCAGAGATGGGAAGAGAAAATGTTGAGATGGAGGGAGACAGTGGCTGTGATTAGGATGGGTTTTGAGTGTTGCGATGGAGGAGCTGGTTTGTGTGTCAAACAGAAAGCAGGAACAGGAGGACACCAGAGGAGAGTGAATCACCCATATGTCGCCATTGTCATGGTTACTGTCGAAATGATTTAGCCTGTGGCAGGCTTTAATGAGAGCAGTTTGTATTTCCAGATTTTTTATTTTTTTTTGGTTGTCTGCTCTAAATCTATTTTTTACACAGTCTGTCATCAGTATTGATTTCTAGCTTTATTTTTTGCATATAATAAATGCAAGAATCTCAATTTTATTTTCAGTTTTAAAATATTTAAATAGATGGTAGGAACATGTAGCTCTTCCTGCTGCTATGTGTAGCTCAGTAAGATGTATGCTAGGAGGTTGACATACTTAGCAAATGACATAAAAAAATTGGAGTAAAATGTTTTTCTACTTAGTTTTTTTACTAAAAGAAAAAAAACATTTCCATCTCTGTTACAACTTTTTCTCGTCATTATGCTTTGATCAAAATTAAACAGACATGACAAAGAGGATATAAGGAATGCTCATGCTCCTCCTCCTTCTCCCACACAGATTGAGACAATAGGTGATGCCTACTGTGTGGCCGGTGGACTTCATAAGAAGGTCGAAAGCCATGCAAAACCAATTGCACTCATGGCTCTAAAAATGATGGAGCTTTCTGAGGAAGTCCTAACGCCTGACGGGAAGCCTATCAAGGTGAGTTTAATTTCATTTTTTCTTTACCATGCAGGTGTATTGAGTTGTTAAATAACTGAACTAGATGAGACATTGTTTCATCCTAGTTTAAAATGATTTCCATCATATGTATGTGTAATAATGTATTTGCTTGGTTTGTTTAAGGATAACATTATTTAATTTTTAGGGTTCATTTTCTAAGGAACAACATGGACCTAGAGTCCCTTTAGTAATTTTTCAGCTGACGGTCAATACTATTCTGAATTATTGTACAATCAAGTGAAACTTATATTTACTTTGGTATGGCTCAAAATTATAATACTACACATTAAGCAGAATATTACAGAAAGGACAACATCGGAAGGAATACCTGAAAACAATCGATGGTGAGATATGGACAACTAAGAGATGAATGTAAATAAATGAATAAATAAGCAGACAAAAAAAACGCTCTTTCTGAACCTGTTTAACCAAGTTATATGCAGAATCACCAAAACCATTAAGATCATTCACCCATTTTTAATTGGGATCCTTTCTGCTGTCAAAACTGCTTCGACAAGACAAACATGGTTTCCTGGATCAGTCGGTGCTGGAATGTTCACAATAGGTCCTTTTATGGAGTTTCTTCTACATCAAATTACCATAAGGATGTTTAAAAACTTATGTGAGCACTTCAGAAAGAGTTTGGGTTTGTTTGAATACTCCCTGAACAGATTTGGGAAGGTCCCTGTCTTTCCTGTTAAGAGGAAGACTGTTTCTCCAAAGTAGAGCAATGTCCAAATATAGAATGAGTTTGGTCTAATTTTCATTTCACTTCACCTATTGGTAGAAAAACGTTCTGACTGATTCAAACTTCTTTGTATGTTTACAGTTGTCTAATGTGGATGCAGTTGTATAGATTTTTAATTTAGTAGAGACTGTAAAATACTGTTTGTTCTCAGGCTCAATGTTTGTTTGATTGTTTGTTTTTGGTCAGATCTATGCTGATCTGGGGAAAGTCAGATTTTTTGTTTTCGTCAGCCAAAACCATATTATTTTTCTCCGCGATAGAGTGCATCATATTACTTTAGCTCTGTCAGTCATGCTGAATAATCTATAATAGTTCTGTTAACTTAGATTGCATGAAGCTTCCTCAATGTAATGATTTTTAACAAATGTTTTTGTTTTTCTTTAGCTTCTGCCCAGTAAATAAAAGATAAAAGATCCCTTGAAAGACTTTCTATTAGAAATTTTGTCTCAACTTCATTCTAAACTAAAGCAACATGTTATAGTTCAGAAGTGCTGATCACATAATCAGAGTGCGCCGTCTTTTATACAATACAAGTTATTGTTGAAACAACTACATATTTTTCCACTTTTGTGGTGCGACAAAAGGTGAGCTGCTCTGCAGAAAATGACACCTGTTTTATTTACTGAAGAAATAAAACAGCACGGTGAGAGGAATTCATCATGTTAGCTTAGGAGAACATGAAAGAAACACAAAACAATTTATTAGTGCTTGTCCTCTGTTCGGTTCACCTGAAGGTCATATGAAACTTGAAAGGAGCCTGAGAAGCTCAGCAGGCTCTCATGCAGTCTTATGCAACTATGATATATAAGTAATTAGTCCTGTGATCATTGGGATATTAGCTCTTTTGTCAACATCTCTATAGTCGTGGAGTTTGTTTTGTTGTTATTGGTCATCATGTCACTGACTTTTATTAACTTTTAGCTGATAAACAACTTTAATGCATGCAAATACAAACTTAACTTCTAACTTTATGAAAGTTGCTTAAATGTGCTTCAGGACTACATGAAGACAGATCAAAATCAGAAAATTGTGACTTATATATGCATCCAAGCCACCTTACTATATAATTCTTTTGGGTCCACCTTTGCATAATTTAATCTAATTTTATAACTGCACTAAAGGCCTCAGAAATATATTAGAGGAAATTAGTGAGCAAACAGCAGCAGGAAGACCAAAAAAAAAAAAAAAAACAGAAGAAACCAAAAGTGGAAGTAAGTCCTCTGGTCAAATGAGACAAAATCTGAATTATTTTGGTTTTGGTGCAGAGTAAAAATGGTGGTGGCATCAAACATTGGGGATGACCTTCTGCTGCAGGAATAGAGAACCTGGTCAGAGCTTGTGTGAAGATGAATGGATCTAAATTCAGGGTAGCCATTCGGTCTAGTCATAGCAAATGACTTGAGAAAGAGACTAATATACAGCCAAATTTACAATGGAATGGCTTAGATAGGGTCAGAAATTCAAATAAGAAGCAAGACTTAAGATATTCTGTTTGCTGATACTCTTCATCCAGTCAAACAAAACCTGAGGTATTTTTGAAAAGATATTGGTCTTGATTTGCCCAGTATGCTTTGTTAGTGAAGCCCAATAAAGTGCTCTGAAGGTTGTGTAAGTAACATGATAAAATGTGATTCAGTTCTAGCATTTTGAACATAAAAGACACAAAAGGTCCAGATGTTCACCCTTGTCCAATCTTTGTTCAGATTTTTTAATTTTGCCACATGTTCAAGAAAATGCAGATATTTGGTTCCTAAAACATTTATTTATGCTTTTTTGCATAAATAAAAAGCACTATGCTATACAGATTGTGAATGCTATACACAATCTGTATAGCATAGTTGGGGACCAAACAACTGAGTGTGAAAGAAGGTGAGATAAGGGAGCTGCTGAAAAAACAGACAGGACACTTTTATGTGTACCGCTGTGGTCCTAACATGGTCCATTTGTCTCAAAATAGAAAGCCCTTGCCAAGCGTTTCTGGCCTGCTTCTTTTCTCTCACATTTGCTCTCTCTCTCTCTCTGGTTTCCCTCTACCTCTCTATCTTGGTCTCCTAAAAGGTGCTCCTTTATCTTCTGTGTCTCACTCCCTCAATTTCCTTCACACATTTTCCCTGGGTTTTGTTCTTGTTCTGCCTTTCTAGAATTTTTGTTTTGCCATTTTTTCCCCATCCTACTCATTTTGTGCTGGCATAGAGCGGAGATATACAGATACTCAACACTTCAGGATGATAAATGCTGTTCAGCGAGTGCTCTCAGCCCAGCCAATGTTTCACTGTTATGCAAACTAGCAGGAGAGATGTGAGAGAGAATGGAGAGAAAATGCTTTGTGAGACACAAATGGACACAGAGTGATTCAAGGACACTGAAATATATTGAGGTGTGAAATGTCAAGGGGAAAACATGGATAGTAATCAGACACTGTATGTTGCTTCCTCTATGTTATTGTTATTATAAAGTATGAGACGTAATTTATTTATTGTTTGTCTGGATGAGTGAGTGCATGGATAGGTGGCTTTAAGAGAGCAAAAACAGAGCTAAACATTTATCTTTTCCTCTATATGGGGGGAGGAAATTTAATGTCTACAAAATAGTTCATAAGTAAACTCTTGTAAAAGTATCTAGCAGACATCTGCAGTATCTGCTGCAGTTTGCATGCAGAAAGAATCAGAGGCTGATCATGCTGACTGAAAGTAGCTGTTTTTTTTTTTTTTTTTTTTGTCATAGTGCAGTTCCAACAACCGCAGCCTTTCTGTATGCAGCAAAAGGTTTTGATCGTGCAGTGCAAAGTCTAATCTCTTCACCCCACTGACAACTCACCATTCGACATGCTCGTGTAACAGTCCACAAGGGACTAGCACATAGAACAGATTTACACTTGCTAATACATAATGCTTCATAAGAACATCCCAACATCGAGACGAAGATGTAGATGCAGTCATTTCAGTTGATCCAACAGAGAGTTTCCAGTGTTTACAAAGCTGTAATGGTTGCATGCCGTCCGTGCTGCAGAGAGGACACATCTGCACCTCCTCCATGAAAACATGTCATAACAAGTGGATATCGGTACAGTCAAGCACTGTGTCTTGCAAGAAACTTTTTAAAGGACATGGTTGGAGAGTTAAGGCCATAATTTGATGTTTTTTATTTGAAGATACATTTTTATGTGACAGATTGTTTATGCCATAACAACAAATTTTAAGTTTGCACCACATTTTGTCCCTCCAGGAGCCAAATATAGATTTTAGTGTATGCACTTTACATTTACCATTATATCCTGTTTGTTATATGAGTAAGACTTTAAATCATCATAAACAGTGTCATGATGTCATCCAAAGGTTTGAAGTTAATAGAAAGGATTTTTATTGATTTATTTTTCATTCTTCATATAGCAACCTTACAAAGAATCAATTCATATTTACAAACTGCATACAGCATACAGCAGGATCTTCATCTTATTGGTGGTTTGCATTGTTTCATTTTTGAAAGTAGAAAATTAATTCACCCACTTGACATTTTTTTCAACCTGCTGTCTGTCCTTCAGTTTGTTCTTGCTGATTTGTCACTCTGCATCTCTTTGTTAGTCTATGGACTAGGTGTTTCAAAAGTCAGATTTTTCCCATTTTTCCAGTTTCTTGTTTGTCACCCTTCTGTGCTAAGCTAACTATGTTTACTGTAGAGTGTGTTTGATTAATTGTAGTTTTATCTATGCACAAACTCATGGTGTTCATGTTCTTTTTTCAGCTTTCCCCCTATTTTCTTTCCTGCTTTATCAAACACAATGCAAACATGTTGATCATTCAAGTTGTCCAATGAATCACTGTTCTATGTTTGGTTTGGTGATGTGAATGTTATTATTGATACATACATACTTTTGTACCATGCAAGGCTTACTGGTTAAGCAATTATCAGAGGCACTAACGCCTCTGATAATTGGCTGAGTAATTTATTTCTCAGCCATCTTAAGGACTTAAATCACTCCCATTTTTTCCCGTTTTTTTATTTATTGATGGGTTTTTTTCTTCTGACTTTTAAATAGTCAGTTAACACTGCAGCAGAACGTTGCCACTTCAAAGTTGGAGTGAAAGCTGTAAACACCAGACTCGAAAGTTGAGGTGCAGCTTTCAAGTCTGAATACAAGCATGTGAGCTGGCACATGTGGATGCGGAGAAGCATGCCTTTCAGTCTATCTCTGTATCTATTATCTGTTTGTCAGCATGGCCAGAGGCTATGCTGTGATTGGCTGCCTATGCCGCTGCGGCATTTGCTCTTCGACTTCAATGAGGGCCATGTGCAATGGATGCTGACTCACGGCGAAACAGAGAGGAAGAGTGTATGGCTATTACCGTTTGTATTTTAAGGCTCAGGAATAAAGAGAACAGATGCAGATTGTTTGTGTGTGTATGTTTATGTCTGTCTGAGTGGTTGTCTGTTGTAAAGACAGGCGAGTTTACAGCCGTCTGCATGCGATTTAGCCACAAAAATAGGTCACACTAGTGCACCTGCCATCCTCGTTCTCCCTCGCTGTCTGTTTCATTTTCTTTATCACTCCCCCTGAACAGTCAAGGTCCAACCATCTAATTATAGGTTCGCTTTGCCTTTCTCTCCATTGCCTTTGCATTTGCCAGCGCTATCTCACTACGACCCTCAGCTGTTGTTGCCATGACTCCATTGCAGTGTGCTGGAATGCATATTGAGATTAATTGTTAACAATCTACTGGGTTCCTCTGGGTTTGGTGTGTGATGTGCAGAATGTAATCTTTGACTAATTGTTATAAATCAATAGTTGATCAGGTGGCCCTGAATTGGAAGGATGGCCTTCACACTGCCTGCAGTTATGCAAAGATCCACACTAGATTACAAAATGAGCACCAAAAAACCTGTTACTAAAGGGAGAGGGAATTGATCATTTTCCCTCTAACTCTCATGTTATTTTAAATCCCGTTGCTGCAGGGTATGTATGAGATTAGATAACATCCCAGCTATCATGGAGTCATGATCTCTTTGCTACAATGTCCATCACTCATTCCAAAGCATACACAGTACTTCTAGCCCCAAAACAAGAAAATTTTTGTACTGTACAGTAATTAATCCCATCAGTTCAGCTCAGCTTGGAAAACTAATTTGTGAGTGTGCTCTGCAGTGCCTGGTGTCATGTCACTCTAGAGGCCAGGTTGGGTTGAATTCAGGCTTAAATTAAATGAGTTTGCCCATATTCTCTGCTGCAGACATGACACACTGAGGCTCAAGTTTCTATTTTCGATGTCTGTCTAATTTCATTTCTCTGGGCTGAACATGAGATCTCCTGTATGATTGGCCTTCTTATCTAAACCCAAGGACAATATTCTGTTCTAGCTGTTAGAGGGAACTTCAACAGGAGTTTCTTGACATGTCATGAGTCTAATCGCTCTTCCCTTCTGTCTTTCTCCTTCCCTCTCTTAGTTAAGAATAGGTATCCACACAGGTTCGGTTCTGGCAGGTGTGGTTGGGGTTAAAATGCCACGATATTGCCTGTTTGGGAACAACGTAACTCTAGCCAGCAAGTTTGAATCAGGAAGCCATCCAAGGTGCATCAATGTTAGTCCAACAACCTACCAGTAAGTACCAGCATATACAAATGCATGTTTGAATCAAGCAAAGTGAGCCCTGATGTTGTTTTTAATAGAGATTTAAAGGTAAATTATAAGGAAACATTTTTGATCACATCTGTTACAAGGTGCTTGCCATTTTTAAGTACTTGGTAGGGATGAGTCAAAAACCTGTAGAATTCATATTTTGCTCCAGTACTATAATTTCATTGTTTGAACAACATAAAGCTAACTAACCTTTACTACGATTGCATTTATTAATAAATAAACTTTCAAAAGTTTATTTATTAACTTTTGAAATCATTTCAAAAGTTAATAAATAAATGCTTTTTTTAAAAAAAATGCACTGATGTCACACCTTATGACATCCTATTCTTAATACTTTATTCAACACATTTTTTTTTTTTTTTACCAATTTGTCTTCTACTATAACGCATTCATTCCAATGGATTATACATGGAGTGGGATTTCTGACCATTCCTCTGCACAATCTCTCAACACCAGCCAGAATTACAGACCCTCTCTTTTGCAATGGTTGTTGGTAGGACTCAATCAATCTAATCATCGATTTGAAATGAAATCTTTCCTTTATAAAGGTAATAATTTTATCATAAACTTAAAATACCAAGATATTTCTTTGATTTCTCTTTGCTCCAATTTATTGTCAAATCAGTGATGATGCAGTATTTGTATTGTAGGAAAATAACCATGAACTAATTATCACATCCATATGTAAATCTATTAGTAATCAAACTAATGTGTCTGTACTTATATTTAGTTAAAATAAAAAAGTAATAAACAAGAAAAATAAGGACTGACAAGTGTTTTATTCTCACCTCTCCCACCGGAAACACAAGTTACTCACTGCCTGGGTGTCTGGTTCACAGTAAGCAGGCAGTGAAAAAAGGATGCTCTTTATCTCTCTCTTCGTCAGGAGCCTCGGCTCACTAAGGACCAGCCTGGGTTACTTTGAGGGAGTAGGTAACACGTACTGCCAAATACAGGCTTTGATCTCTGGATGAATGAGCTTCTGGTTACCAGTCGGGACTGAGAGTCAGAATAACACCAGGTAGTAGAAAGGGGCTATTTCCTGGGCTCAGCTGCAGAATTGATGTGGAAATACAGTTTCTCTTGAGTGTGCAGGGACAAATAGCCTGTCAGCAGTGTTTGGGACAGACAACTAGTTAATGTTGACGGACACAAAACATTTTCTTAGGCAAGTCTCAATGGCCTCAGATTATCAGTTGGTACTTGTGGATGGTATATCTGGCTTAGCTGGTAATAAAGCTTCACACACATCTTTGTGTCTAACGAGCTGCTCGAATCAGTGGGGGACATAGAAAAATGTGGATCAGTGATGTGTGAGGATGGTGGGTACTCAAATTAATGTGTTAGTGAGAGCCCTCATTAGGCTTTAAAAAAGTAAAGATGTTTTCCCCAAAGGCCTCAGAAAACCTTCTAATCCCTTTAAAACAACACACTCTACCTTAAAACATCAAATCGAGCTTTGCAGTAATGGTAAAAAATAAAAAAGTCAAAATCATTAATACATACAACATCCATTTGACAGTATAACACAATCTCTATTAGTAATTAAAGCTATTGTGAATCACAAAATGATTAAAATTATAAATTTCTTTACAAATAAAAGTCTGTGTGCAAGACAGAGAATCGGACTACAGGTTTATCAAAACTTCAGCGTCTCAAGCAAAAGAAGGTGTTTTATGGCCTCTTTCTGACTTCTATCATTTTCTTTAATCTGAGTGAGTAAAGAATTGAAAGATATATGAACCCAAAATGTAATCCTGGTGCATTCAGCATCAGAACCACAACAATAAAACATGAGATAAGTCGTTGCATTCGTTCCTGCTCACATCTTGATTAGTTGAAGGGCAAATTCTGTTGATTCTTCTATTTTTAGTTAAATTCAAAAACACTTCTTTAATCCCAAAGGGAAATTAAATGATTAATAAAATTTGAGTAGTGGCTTTGAGAAAAAGTTTAGTTAAATGTATTTAAGAAGGATTGGCTACGCTTTCAAATGATGGTGGCGCTGGTCATTATAAATAATAATTCTTAATTTGGGATTTGTTTTTCTTAACTTAATAGATGCTCTGAAATTCAAGGGTAGAAATGATCACATTTACTGAAATTATCATGATTATGAACAGCTCATGGATTTTATGGTATTCTGTTATTTATAACCACTGATTCTGTTCTTTTATCAACAGGTTGTTGAAAGATGACCGCTCCTTTTCGTTCATCCCTCGTTCTCGGCTGGAGCTCCCAGAGAATTTTCCCAAAGAGATCCCAGGGACGTGTTACTTCCTGGAGGCAGGGACTTCGCACAGCCACGCCTCACTTACCAGCTCTCGCTCGGCTCCTCCGGCCTCTATGAGGAAGGTCTCCTACAGCATCGGGACAATGTTTCTAAGAGAAACCAGTTTGTAGAATCATACACAGAGATGTTTAAAATGTAAGCGACTGGATTTGAATCACGGGAACATACAGGAAACCAGTCACGCAAATCTGTGGTTATGCAAATGCACTATGTAAAAAGTGGTATTTACACCTGATTGGTGAAATATGCTTTCATCACAAATGAAAGAGAACAATGGTCCCCATCTCTTCCCTGAGCAGTGGAGATATTCTTCAAGTGACTTAAGGGACAGCAGTTGCAGTAGTCCTTTCTATCCTCCAAGAGGTGGACTGATATAATCAAATTGTGGAAAAACCTTTGGACAAAAACTCTGTTCTGGCTGGATGTCTTGGCTGCAGACCTGGTGTCTGGCTCTTTGCAGCGGTTCACATTCAGACAACACCCAGACGCTTGTCTGCATTAAACAGAACTGAGTTAAAACTCACAGCGATCACACTCATGACCACTGTTGTCCTCATTAGCCATTTGCAAACAGAACAAAACCCCTTTTCATTTATAAGGTGGGTGCTGAAGAATGAATTTTGTTTGACTTGCTGTCCATCATGCTCTCATGTGCGACAAAGAAATGGAAAACGATACAACTCTCCGTTTCCTTCATGTTCATCTGTCTGTTAGTCATGTTATGCTTTAGGAAACGTAAGAGCTGCTCCTCCAAACTGTTGACAGGCGGCCAGCTGGCTGGGATTTGTCAAGGAGACAACAAGAGGATTTGCTTTGAAAAGGTAAACGTTGGAAGACTAATGTGAACTAGAGTCAAACTAATCCAAACTTATAGCCCTGATTGTTTTGGATCCTCAGCAAACTATAGCAGACAATGTTGTAATAGTGGAGATAACAGAATGCGAATAACAGAAATGTAGATGTCTCACAGCAACTACTCTTTGATTTTTGTTTTTACCTGTGATTATTTGTTTTAGTGTATTACATACTTTTAATAAGATCAGTTGTCAGCATTTACCAGCTTGTGCTTACTTGCATTCAGCTAATCAGCATTTTTACCTACATGTAGCATTGTCCCAAAAGCTTTGCTTTTAGGATGGACCTGCCCAGATCGGTCTGCATCTTGCTTAGGTGACATCAATGCAAACAGGTATTTGTGTGCAGGTATGTCCCTTTTCATGCCTGCAGGAATAACAGATTGTTGTGTGTTTTAGTTAGTAGAGCTGACAGGAGGAATCAGACACAGTTCACAGTTCCTCAGTCCAGATATGAAAGAACGTTGAATCAAAGGTTTTACTGAACATGCAGCCAATTTACAGATGTACTTTTTTTTTCCCAACTGCATTGTTTATAAAAACTAATGAAAAAATCCTGCATTTGTTTTGCCCTGTGGAAATTTAACCAAGATACAGAAGCCCAAAATGATTCATGCCCCTCACAGACTTAGACTTTTAATTTTCATGACCTCCAAGTCTTTCAAGTTGAAAGGTCACCTTGCCATCGTTCTGCTCTTTAGCTCCCTTCAATGATTTTATTTTTTCATCAGATTCAAATCTGGACAATAGCGGATGTTAACACTATGTGAAATGTTAAAAATGTTAACACTACTGTGAGTCAGAAAAAGAAGTTGTTGGTAAAATTCAACGATTACTTTGCACTTAAATCTGTAGAGCTATGAATACATTTTGGGAAAAACTGTAAATGAAATTCAAGTCAACTTGTTTGCTGGCAAACTGAGTTCAACTTGCTGAGTGAACAACTCGGGCTGTCCTACATAGATCCAAACATAATTATTAAAGATTGTCCATCATAAAGTGGGAATATTGGTTTTGGATAGTTTGGCTTTGGAGTATTTTACTGGAGACTTTACAGATTTGTGTTGTATGCTAAATTGACATTTATTTAATTGCTATTTTTCACGACCTGTGAAATTTAGCCCAGATGTTACAAATTGAAAAGTTGGTTGAAGGCTTTTTTATTTGTAATAAGACTTACTCAAGCATTCCCATCACAGCTGTTTTAATACATTACTTACTCATAATAAATTCAGAAATGACAGTGGTTGCATAGGTTTCAAGAAGGCATTCCTTTGTGCTTACTTACTTACTTCGTATTTTAAAATAAACTTTTAGGTTTTCTACTTCTATAACCATAATCCTTCATACATTCTTTGAAAGAAAAATAAACTTGCAAAATTATGTAGCAGGACTAAAAAAAAAACATAAAAAACTAAATGTGCCAGTTTCTTTCAAAGATTCCACCAGCACAGATTAGACATGATTTCTGTGTGTCATTCTGGAAGATCGTTAGCTAATTGTAGGAGTATGAAACACATGCCATAAGAAAAATCACTTACTGTATGTGGGATGCAAAAAAATACCAATGTTAATTTCACACGTAATGTAAAGAAAAGTGACACCAGCTTAAAAATGCAATATTTTTTGTTGGAAGAGAAGAAATAATGGATGACAAAACCATCTGCTTTTAACATACCTGAGCGGTGAATTATGTCATTGTCAGTGATACATACATAACTTAATAAATAAATAGATAAATACAGATTTATTAAAGAGATGGTGCAAAAAAAATGCATAGTATTGATAAAACTAAACAGAGAATAGAGTAAGTGGAAGTAGATAAAAAAATATATGGACTTGTTCATTTTTTTCTAGTGTGAGATGAATTTTCCAGTTGGGTCAGAGTCACAGCATCTCATCAGTGGTTTTGCTGCAGCGGTCGGCTTATTGCATTCTAATTCCTTTTCATCAGATGAGTTTGAAAATACAGATGTTATCCAGGGATCAACACATTAACACAGATTTGCGTAAGGAGGATTTGGACTTTGAAGGGACACTGTTGTGCGTAAATGTGATCATGCAGCCATTTTTTGTAAAACATGGTGAACTGGGGAATTGTTAGCTTTAAAACTAAAGACTTTCCATAGATTACATTTAGCGCTGACAACATATATTTTCATATACTGCATAAAAATATACGATATTTCTTTCTTCACTGTCTGGCATAAAATCAGACTAAACCTTTTCTGTATTGCACCAGTTGCTGTTGCTAAAATGACTACTATTTAATAAATACAGTACAAGAATAATGGGAGAGAGAAGTAAATCAAACTTTTTTATGAAAGTTAGCATGAACTAAAATTGTTTCCAAATTAACCAACTTGGAAATCGTTGGTGATAATGGCATGGCTTTCTGACAGATAATTTCATAAACTTTTAATTAAATGAAGGCCACCTGCTGATGTACTTAAAAACACTGCTTCCTTGTGCAACATAGTGCGAGAAATTGAAAGAAATTGACCGCGGTAGGAGGAAGAGAGTGACGGACCCTGGGCTGGTTCCTTCTTGAGTGGACTTTTCAGATTTCTAGAGGTGCCATTTTTGTTAGCCCAAACAATTATATCCAACTTCAAACACTATAAGATTGTCTAAACTCAAAAGCCTAAAAAACATAGTCCACTCTGTGAAGTATAGATGACATTATGATGTGTAAATATTAAATCAATGACTTTAAATAAGTCGTTTAACCTCTTCCTAAAAAGAGCCTCTTTTTTGGAGACGTTTTGGAGAGTTCTCAAAAAACGACACCCCCAAAATGAATTCAATATATCTCAGGAACTACAAGGTTTATTTGACTGGTTCAGGTATCAAAATAAAGGTGATATTCCAGAAAACACTCTAGCTCTAAAAGTCAACATTTGTATTACTGAGAAAGAACAAATACATTTGGCACACAGTGAAAAAGTAAAAATAATCAATTCTAATGAAATACATTACGTAATGTGGATTTTCCTTAAAATGAAGGAATAGACAACGACTCTACTCACACAGCCAAATGAATTACTAAGTGGGTTGAGGACCATCACAAACTCCTGATCTCAGTGCCGTAAAACATTCGTGGTGCATTAGTGTCCAAGCAACTTGTCCTACAAATCTGTCTCAGTTACTCCCAAATGGGACAAATTAATCTGAGAGGCTTATGAAAGGAGACCCAAAACCTTTTGACCTTTTACTATGGAACGATATGTTAACTTGAATTTGAGGAAAGCTGGAATTAAAACTCAGAAAATCTCTCCTATCATTCTGGTAAGTTAGTCAATAGAGATAATCTTAGTATTTTTAAAATAGCTACAAAATACATATTATATTTTTGATTGATCTTTTTCTATCCACAGTAACTCCGAGACATATCATCCATCATTCCTGTATGTGCCAAATGATAAAAAACTAATGGTTCGAGTTCATATTTGTCTACATGAGCAGTCTTTGGACTATATGAAGCAGAAAATACATCTTGCTTTAAGTAAATTCTACAATATTTAAAATTGTTTTTTATACCAATTGTGTTATCCAAACTTACTGTAAAAAGATCTTCACATATCTATTTTTAAATTGCTTTGTACTATGAAATTACACTTAAGAAACTGACATATTGGAGGAAAAAAGGAGCACAGATCAAAAACAAAACAAAACAAAAATCTAGACATTAGTAATGCCAGTATTTGCAAGAAGAAAATTAGCTCATAACTAGTGCCATTGTTCAGTGAGAAAATCTAATCTTAAGCAGCGAGTATTTGTGTCTAGTGTGCATTACTTTTTCTTAAACAAGTCGCTGCTCAGCATCAGAGCTGGTAGATTGTTTTGTGTGAGGACATTCGTCAAACTGAAAGAAAGTGAAATGTTATTAACATGCTTCTGTTTGATAGTGGCAAAGCATAGAGCTGCTTTCGAACAACAACGCACGCTCGAGGTAATAACAGAGAAGCAGCACCTGCAGCACCCACATGAAGCAATAATGATAGTATGTCTGCAGGGAGACAAATCATAAGGGTGAAATCTTATGAGCATATGAGTTGATGTTACAGGTTAGTATTGCATACATGCAGTATTATATGACAAATGCAACTCTTGTAGCCTGTACGTACTAAAGGTGTTGTTTTCACTCAGCTTCAGAGCTTCGGCTGTTTCTGGGCTAAATAAAGCGGATTACGCCAGCATCACACCCACACAACTTGTGTCCAATTCTTCAGTTTCTTGTATAATATCAGACATTTAGGAAATCTTGTGACTCTCGCTGTTCTGACAAAGAGGTTTTGCAGGTGCTGTTTCTCTGCAGAGCCATGGATTATTGCACTGCAGTAAATATTCACACAAACCGTTACAGTCAAGTGCAGGAGGGCCTCAGCGTTCAGTGACGAAAAGCCAAATCAATAAGGATTTTATTTTACACCATCATTTTAGAAAGTCAAATAACTTACTATCCTGTTCACCCAAAAAAAACTAAATAAAAAATCCATGAACCTGTTTCAGTTGTTTTACTTGCTTAGTTAGATTATTTATGTCAGTGTTTGAACCATCTACTATAAATTGACTGTCCCAAATCACACATAAGCATTCTGCACTCTCAAGTGATGTATTTTCTTATAACTATGATGAATAAAATATTCTCTGTATTTTCATTTTCACTTTGTGTTATATTTCAAGCTGGTTTCTTTACTGATGTACTGGTAAAATGTCTTTTTCTTTTCTACTTGGTATGCATCATTTTCTACTTGGTATGCATCATTTTCATTTAAAGTAAGTTAGCTTTTTATTTTTTGTTCATGTCCGAATGTTATAAAATGCATCTATTTGCCTTGATTAACTCTATTCCCAGTGACTCACTTTGTAACAAGTCTGAGCTGATTAGAAACCGATACCGGTTTGATCAATGGTTGCAACATGACTCACACCTTTCTGAAATGTCTGAAATGTTAACATTCATACAGAGATGGGGTGGGAAATCCAGCCCTCCTCCCTTCGATAAGTTTTATCTTTACTGGAAACAGTACACTAAATCGCAAATCTTGATCTGCTGTGTTTTTTTTTTTTTTGTTGTTTCCAGGCCCATCTGGACATAAACTGTGTTTGGTCCTGCTGCTGGGATCAGGTGTTTGCTGTGTTTTAGGGTGCTTGATGACAGCTGTTGGTTTCTGACTGACGTTTAGGGCACATCTTCTGTAAATAAAAAAAAAAAAAGAAAATACTGAGTATCTTTACAATTACAAAAAAAAGCCTTGGACTCTTATTTTGAATGCATTGTCACCACATTTTTCAGACACTCAGCAGTTATTTTACATATTGAACTTGCATGCAAAGGCTTAAGGTCGAAAACGTTCTGATAAAAGTCTTCATGTTTCTTGAAAGACTACATCTGGAGGTATGGGGTTAAGATTCTCCTTCTCATATATGGAGCCCTTAATAGTCAAGTACCATCATGCATCAGAGATCTGGTTGCTCCATAAGTTCCTAACAGAGCACTTCGCTGTCAGACCGCAGATTCACTAAAGCATGTTTAAGGATTACAAAAATATGTCCAAGAATATTTCCAAACCGCGTTTGTCTTTGGCTCTATTGCAAACTAATCAAATCAATGTTTTATCACTTTTTTTGTATACGGATTTAGTCCTCTCTTAGTTCTCTGATGCAGCTCGGTCTTTAATTTATTCCAACCCTTCTCTGCATTGCTTCATCCCCCCGGCACATCCTCCTCTAGTCCTCCAGTTTCTCTTTGCCCTCTCACACACTCCGTGCATCCAGGCAAACAAGCCGTTACACTAACAGTCGCATGTTTTTGGATATTTCGCATGCATCGTTGTCACTTTATAACACTTGGGATTAGCATCAAACAGACAAAACCTGCTGATGGAAATCAGACACAAACAGAAGCTACAGGAGTGTCAGAGGGGACTTTCCTTTAATTTACATGCTGGACTCTTCTCACTCGCCAGCTGAAGCTCTCCTGAGTTATGGGATGCCAGCGGTGTTAGCATTTCAGCGGTGGGTTCATAGGAGATGGACTCTTTTGTTAACTCATCAGGATATGTGCAGGGACGTTGTTTTATGAGATCTCATTTTAATAACTTTTGTAATATTGAGCAAACTGGATAGTATCTTGCTCTTATTTTTTTGGTTTTTATGCTTTTTTTTTCCACCTGTGTGTGAATCTACATGCTTTCATTTTGCCTGGGACTTCTGCTCTACTCAAGCCACAGACTCAACTGAGGTCCACTGCTTCCTCCTGTGAAAGACAGGGCCTCTGGTGCTGCTCCTGTTGTTACTCGTTGTTCTTGCTTGATTTCTTCCAGTGCATCCATCAGGCCAGCCTCTGGTGTTCATCCTTAGTTTTTCAGGGAGGGATTCTCTCCCACGCTGTGCATCTCTTCCTTTTGAGACTTAGACCTGCTTCTTTGTTAGTGGTTGAGTCTCGACAGGGTCATTTTCTGTAATTAGGAAACAAAAAAATAAGAACAAAGAACAGCAATTGTGCTAGAAAATATGAAAACCATCCAAAAAATGCAAAAAGAAAAAAAGAGCATTAAATGCTTCAGCAATTTTAAATCTCAATTTAATGATACTGAACACTCCGATGTGGTAAATAAACATGCTACTATTATTGAAGTTACAGAGTTAACGAAATTTAACTTTTCTTTCGCTCAGTTCCCAAACACTGAGCAGTACTGATCTATTGGAAACTGTCTGATTTTATCAGTGGTTGATTGATTCTTGTTCTTCTGAAGCTAGGATCTATTAATTCATCACTAATGGAAACACCAATTTATCAAGCCAGGATTATTTCAGTCATGGAGAATATTTGGATGCTGAATAACAGAAGAAGTAAAGCTCCCAGATGAAAAAGAGGTGAACAAGCGCTTGTCTTTGTCACACATTGAAGCTGTAGTTGTTCTTGGTGAACAGAATGGGCTCCTGCAAATCTGTTGTTACTGATATGAGGAGAAAAGTTTATGTGCAGCTCATTAGCAAAGAGCTAATCCAATAAAAGCTTAACTTAATTGCTTAAGAGAACTGAAAGTCCTGTAAATTTCTTCTGATTGATATTTATCCATAGATGAGAAATGTGGAAGGAAGATACATGACACAGTTATTGAGCTTTGTCTTCAGTCTTCTTGTTCTTCAGTGATTCAAGAATTTCTCCAACATGCAAGTAAGAAACCAAGTCCACCAAACGTAAATCTTGTCTTTGTGTGTATTTCATTTCTGTCGTTCTCCCAAGTAGGCCTCTTTCTCTCCAACCATCAGTTACTTTCCTTTGACCTTCCTTTATTTGTGTCATTTTTTTTTTTAAATCACTATTGTTATTCCTAATTTTTGATGGTATCTCCAGGTAATAGTTTTAGTGACGATTAAAAGCGAAAAGTTTAAATGATGAAATAGTCAAACAATGTTCATCGGAAACTTTTGGGGAACTTGATCAATATGGAAAAGCAGGAAGGCACTAACCGTTTGCAAGGAGACTCAACGGCGTAAAGAAAAATTCCCAGATTATTAAAAAAAAAAAGAAAAACCTCACTCTATTTCTTTCTGGCTGAAACATTTTCCACCAGCGGAGTGGAAAACAGATGAGCAGGATCAGGGATTAGTGTTGAGCCATGCAAATTAAAAGATCACAGAGGCAGCCTCTCAAGGCCATGTGAACGCCATGCCCTTTGTGTCCATCTGGACGGATCTATATGTATGTATGTGCCTGTCTGGCAGTTCTTGCGTCCATCATTGAAACATTACTGCCCGTTATGTCTCAGTTCATGCTGCCATTTCCATGCATATGCAATCAGAGAGATTTCATCTTCAGACATCGTGCAAAGTTTACTTGACCTGTGAGTTAATGTCATGCTTTAGCTCACAGGTTATCTGTTTGTAGGATATGTTACAGTTCAATAAAAGGGACTATATTTCAGCAAAGAATGAGCAGAGACATTGCGGCAAACATTAGAGTATTGATCATGGTGTCGCATCATATTTTAACCTCAGAGTAGTCATAGACTCTTATAGATTATTTATACATTTCTGACTACTCATATTACACTTAAACTAGAGTTAAATAAACTGTTTCACTTAAATTTTGTAGTAAGAATCATTTAAAGGCACATATAATAGTGTCACTGTTTGTTATAAAACCCACTACTATTTCTTTTTGTGGATTTTTTTTCCCAGCTATTAAATAAGTGCACTACGATTAGAGGTTCAGTTATCTCCAATGCGGCTAAACACAAATGCCTGCCACACTTTTAAGATTTTTATCTGCAAATATTTTTGAATACTCTTCGCATCATTGCTTCTGACTTACAATGATGTGCCACTTTGTGTTGATCTGTTACATACAATCGTAAAATACAATGAAGCTTGTGGTTGTAAGATGACGATGCGCACAAAAGCTCAGGAGGGAGGAATACTTTTGCAACTCTCTCAAACACTTTTCATCTAGTTGCAAAAAAATGTGCTTGTGCATATGTTCTTATATGTTAAACAAATCATCTCGTACGAATGCCACATAAATATCCACAGCTCACTTCGGATACTTGATGTCTACAAATGGGTGCTTTGATACAACAGATGAAGCACATAAAAGACTATGTCCTCTTTTAACACTCCAAAGACAGACTGCATCTAATTGTGTGTGTGTGCATGCGCATGCATGTGATTTATCCCTTTGAAGTCTGTATAGGGATGTTCAAAGAAGCTATCCAGACAGACACACAGCTGATGAAACAAACTGGTGAATGCTGTGTGTGTGTGTGATTGTGTGTGTGTCCTTTGCTGATGATTTAAGGACATGCTCTCTGCACTACTTCCTGGAACATCTTGTAACCTCATTACCATGACATCATTAGGTTCTCATTTAGACCAATCTGATTTATCTAATCTAATTATTTCACATGGATTATGAAAGAAGTCCATTATTAGAGCCAACAGCTGGCTGATTACAACTAAGGTGTACAACTTACTGTGTGCTTACATACTTTGAATATTGTTCAGGGTTCATTGCTTCATTGGCAGCTGGCTCATCATGACGTTGCAAGTGAATAAGATTGTCAATGTCTTTTCCCCTGCGCATCTATTCCCTGACACTCTGAAGTCATATGTTCTATAGTTGTAATTAATAATATTACACATTGCATACTTGCATCTGCTGCACCTGGCCGCTTTGTGTGTGTTTCGAAAGACCCGGCTTCAAAAATGCAATTGGTGAACTGTGCAGAGCCTTTTCATTTTGATTTCCCAGAGATCACCACGACACCCTCTTTGTCCATTTGTGGATGATGAGTCTCTGCTTCGTTCACTGAAGTCCAAAAGTCTTAGAAATGACTTTGTAAACTCTTTCAAACTGATAGATGTTGGTGAATCATTTAGCTGAGGGCTTGGTGTGTTTACATCATGTTTCCACACCGTTTATTTAATTTCATGAATCTGCAGCTGTGGCAGAAATTACAACTGAGCTTAGCAGCTGAAAGTGAACTCAGCTTTTTAAAAACTTAGTTTGAATCCGACCAGCGAAAAAGTGGACCGAACCAGATCGGCTTGGATAGATTCTTCACTTAGTCAATTAAATCATCATTTTAAAACTGCTTTATGCATTTACTCAGGTTCTCTGATTTTGATGAGCTCAAACATTTCAAAGTGGACAAAAATATTAGCCTAATACGTCTGAAACGTATTGGTGCCACAGTATGGTAAAACAAATGTAAAGTCTAAGGAAGTAATGAGAAAGTGTTGTGTAGGAGCATTTCCATTCTTCACATCTGTCTTTGCAAAAATCACAAGGTATATACTGGAAACCCCTCTATCTAATCCACATTTTCCAATAATAATTGGATGTGTGACATGCAAACATGCGCAGCGTTTAAATACAGTTGACCAGAAAACATTCCTCCCGCTTGATTGACATCTGCCCTCTGTGAACTTGTTTCATTCACCCTCTCATCCTCAGCTGAATCAACAACTCAGTGTCTGGATGTGAGAGCGAGCGTACGTGCATTTATCCACATGCTGTCAAAGAAAGGGATGGGAACTGATTTATGTTTTGGTCATTTTTTAACCTTTGGCGGTCAGAACGTGAAGCAGAAAGATGTGCTTGTTGAGAAACAGTTGGCTTTAAATAACAGCTAAATAAAGTCAGGCGTGCATGTTATGTTCTCAAGGCCATCTGCCTCCCAAAATTGAAGACGAGCAAGAAGCAATCCCGTAGTGGCAAATTGCCATTGTCATTACTATTAACAATAATATGTACCTTTCTGAACACTCACTTCTCAAACACCCATGCCTTTTATGGTACCTTATAGTGGAAACATTTAAATGGATGATAGTCAAATTGCTGAATCTAGGCTTGCTTTTTGATTAATAAGTTTGGTTTCTATAACTCACATCTTGTGAAAACATCCAATCATACACTTTTGGTGGTCGCTTAATCTTGTTCAGGGTCACTGGACCCAATCCCAACAGAAGAGTTGCACTGTGGAAAGGTTCTCTGTCCATCACGGCGCCACACACAGACACAAGACAAACCGAGCATTTTGGGGGTTATCGTGGGAAACTTGCGCTACTGCCCCACTGTGCAGCTCCTGGTTCAACACGCTGCTTTCAGTTTCCTTTTACCGCCACTGTTCATTAAACAACTTGATACCAAACATAATGCAGAAGGAAAGCAATGGACATAGCCTGCACACAAAAAAGAAAAATGCTTAATAAAAATAAAGGAATGAACAATTTTATAAACACCCTGGGACAATATTGTAAGTAATAAAATCAAGGCAAATCTCAGTATGTTGCAAATGGTGCAACACTTATTTACTAGGATTCATCTGCTTGGGATTGAAAATACCAACACAATATCTGAAATTTACCTTAGTCTTTATCCACATTAGTAGACATACGTTAAGCATGTTTAATCACTTCAAGGTGAGTCACTGTTTTCTGGTTTTCCATGTAATTTGCTTGGTGGTATTTAACCAACTGTTTATTTCAGTGAGTGTTTGTATAATAATTTCAGCTGGGTGTGGATAATACAAAACTCCAGACAAATCAAAGGATTTGTGCATCAAACCCTTTGATGCACAGGTTTGTATTTGTATTCCCTCCCAGCCCTAACTGACAAACAATGGTTATAAGGCATCGTTTAAAACCCAAAACTAATATAACGTTCTCTCAGATAACTTTATAAACATTTGTCTTGTGCCATAGGACTAAATGGTCACATCCAGGAAAAGGGATTTCCTAAATCAGTTATAAACTATTATTGTCCACCGTGGTCCTTGGTGTTGTTGTCTGATTCTGTTTTTGAAAAGTGAATCAAAAGAATGTTTTAGAGTGTGTTTTATTACATAATTTGTTGTATTTGAACCAAATGTTAAAGTATGCACATTTACGTTTACACATGGATGTTTTGTATTCTCTGTCCTTTTCAGTGTGTCAGTGAGTGTGCCCCAGAATGAGATGTTGTGCCCTTTATCTCCTACCCTGGAGAGAGGTTTATTTTTGGGGTTAAGCATGACGGTTTACTCCTACAGCGCACTCACTCTGTCAAAACAAATCGCTCTACATCTGTTTTTTTTTTTTCTTTTAGGTATGTCCAGGCATGTGTGTGACTGAAGTATTTGTATTTTTATGCATCTCTGACTATCAAAATGCATGAATACAACAAATGATGGATGTTTATGTGTGTGTGTGCAGACGTTACGTTGCTTGTTAGGTCTGGAACTGGGAGATGCAAACAAAAAAACCCTGCAACGTTTGCAGGTGGAAATGTGTTTCCATCGAAATCAGGAGCAGCAACTGCAGAAACTCGGCATCACTTTTCCAAACATATTTACAATGTGAATGCATGCAGCATATGAGAAGGCATAGAGTGCGATCAGGTTTTTTTTTTTTTTTACCCACCCCTCATGAAAAAACAAACAGACAAATCAATGAACCAACAAGGGAGCAATCAAAGTGTAGTGGTTGAGTCTCGACACTACACTTTGAGCCAAACCAAATCCCACATTATGTGGTATTTCTGCAATCAAAGTTAAATCATGTCAGCCTCCCTGAAGTGCTGAGCCCTGAGAAAAACTCATCTTTTTCTCTGCAGTCAAAATCCAATCTACACATACTAGATTGTTTTAGTCTGGAGCTCAATAAGTTATTGTTCCATCATCTCACAATTACCACTTCTTTAAAAAGAGTAAGAGAGTCTTTCCCCTTTTAACAACCTAAACAAACCTTTTTCTTGCAAAACCAACATTTAAAATCCTGTCACGAACAATTGCAGAATCCTGCACTTTGTTTTCAGGAAATTTGACACAAGCTCATTTACAGGCCCATTAACAGAGTGATTATGCTTGTCCAGACTTCATATCTCAATTAAAGTGCCTGTCTAACCTCTTCACTGTGTTTCATCCATGGATTTGACTTTTTCTGTTGACTCGCGGAGCTCGGCCAGATTCGCCAGCACGGTCCCTGCAGGGCAGCCAACCAACACCAGGACGTTTCAATCGACCATGTCAGCGCTGACGTGGCTCTGATGCGAGTCCTGAGTTTGTGCAGAAGGGGTTCATTGATTTTATTTAGCCATGACCATTATCATCACTGACTAGTTCCATGGTTATGTGTCAATGAGTCCCTCCACAGCTCTGCTACCAATCAACTAGTGATTGCTGCTGTGCCTGGGAACACGATGAACTAGCATTCATTTCATTTTAGCCTCATCGGTTCCCTTCAGTTCTCCCTCACTTGTATCAGTCCATTCTTTTTTGAATGTCTGTGATTGAATGAAATGAGACAAGTACTAATTTTGCAAATGTACCTCAGACATTTGTTTAGATTAAGATGTGAAAGTGGAATGCCATTGTGCATTTATTTTATTAAATATTCTCTAAATGTTTTATCCAGGTTTCCTGATAAATCACTAATCTTGTTGCAGAAGAGGAAAGTAGGAGGTAATTTTCCCTGCTGTTTAAAGCTCATTTTCTTTCACAAGTAATTCAGTCTTCTTACAAGCATTTCAAAAATTCAGCCAGCATCTTCTGATCTATTTGAGTATTTGGGTTGTGAAATAAATCACAAATACATTTGCATATAAACACGCGCCACTTCGCACTAAAACTAATTGAAGGAAACTTAGCTGTATATAAAACCAAGGCTCTAATTGGAGTCATCATTAGGCTGCGGTTTATTTTAAGAACACTTGTGTGTCGAGACAAATATTATTGCATACTTGAAAAAGAGGAATTGTGTGAATGCGTTGTTCTCACTAATTTCACAAATTAAACCGAGTGTGGCTTGTGGGACCAAAAAGAAAAACATGCCTCTGTTAGAAGCATTTCTTTCTGTCATAAATAATATTTTTGCTGTAAAGTTTGATCATGCCGCAAGTGCACATACATAATTTTGAATCCATTTCAACAATATGATCTCTGTAAGTGTTTGTGGCACCAAATACTCTTCCATTAAAGAAAAACATCAATCATCTTTGCCAGCGGAGCGAGCCTCGGGCTACACTGACACTGGAAAGAGTTCCTGCCTCCAGCCCACACCTGGGGAAGAAGAAGAGTCTATTTCTGTGGTATTACGCTAAACCTGACATGAGAAAAAGGAGCCTCTTTGACTCCTGTCTGACCCGCCTGCCTCTGCTCATCCTCTCAGCTGCAGAGAAAGCAAGTTTTTTTTTTTTTTTTAGACAAAAAGAGAAACTCACGGCAGCTGCAGGCGAGGACTGCTGTTGCCGTTTTCGTCTTTTAAGCTCTTGTCCCATCTTGACAAGATGCCTGTCACGCCACTATATTAAAGTATGACAGTTCAGTTGCTGCACTGAAAACGGATTTGAAGTTTGTGATCAAAATCCAGACGGCTTTAGCGCACAAGAAGGTTTGAGGAAAAGTTGACATTTTTCAAGAAATGCCTCGTTCGCTTTAGAATTACAAAATCAGCTGCTGCAGCAATTCCTCCAGTAAGACAGAGAATTCTTGTGCACACTTTTGCATTTTTTCTCATTAGCTGTGAAACCAAGACGCTCTGGGTTCATGACTTTACTTGCAGTAAATGTTCACCTTTGCAGTAAGGAACAAACCTGAACAACACATCCACTCCATCTCTCTCCAGATTTTGCAAGGAACTGCCTGAAAAAGCCCAGAGAATGCCAATAAAGGCAATAAATGCACAAAAGTAAGAAGGTGGAAGTGTTTCTGTATTTCTACTGAAATTTTACATCAATATTATCCAGAGTCTTAGTGAGGGAAACGTATCACTCTTTGTTATGAACATTATTTTATAATTGAATGCAACATTATAGGCCAGATTTTGACAAATGAACATACAGTATCATTAGAGCAACAAAAAAGAAACAAATTAATAAAAAATAATACTTAGATCACCTTGGAAAATTAATTTGTATATCCCGTAGAAATATATATTTCATCTGTGAGTTCAGATGTCAGAAATGTAAATATCTACACTTCTGTACCATAATTTACCTTGGTCAAAGTTCATGCATTTGTCTTCCAAATATCAATACGGCTCTTCAAGAAAGATCCTCACCAGGGTGAAAAAAAATACTGGAAGAAAAGCACAGCGCAAATCCAAACAGCATGAAAAGTTGAACAGCTTCTGCGAGTTGAAAGACGTTCCTTCTTCAGCAGAGCTCTAAAGATAGATGGTGCCGATTCCTTGGAGGCAAACTTCAGATTTTTAGGTCTGCAAAGAAACTTGACAGCACTTGACTGGACTTGTGTGGAATAAGAAAGCAGCTTCAATGTCAGTGAACTTGTGTTTCCTCTTTGGCACTTCTGAAAGGTTTGTGTGTGTGTGTTGGGCAGGTGAATGTCAGCGTGAGACAGGTTGTCAGCCAGATATCTATGTATCCCTCTGTCTCTGCGGAGCCTCGGCCTTCATCCTGAAGCCGTCCCAGTAGGCAGCGTCTTCTTCTGTCAGCGGCGAGGCCGAGGCGATGAGTTCGCCGAACGACAGCAGCGTGAACGCGGCGGGAGGCGGAAGAGCCTGCGAGGACGACACAAGAAGGACAAGAGGTTTTCTTTTAGCCTTTAAAATCCCGACGCTTAAGATTCCTTAAGTTCAGGATTTATTGTTTGTAAGAAGTCTAAAAATAGAACTCAAACCGGCTCCGTGAGACAGACGAAGAGTTTAAAATCACAAATGACTCATTCCATGAGAGGATTGAATATAAATTATATATTTGATATTCTTCTTGAATAAATAATTTCAAACTGGTAGAGATGTGGCTGCCAACAGTGAAGAGGGAGCCATGTGGTCTACCAGGACACGGTTTCCACAGCAACCGAGTGTATCAGCAGTGAGCATGTAAGAGCTGCGGGGAAAAATGTGTGTCAGCGTATTGCAGTGGCTTCAAGAGTCTCTTTTCTTTCTTCCTATTCTTTTAAAGTATAAAGTGACAAATTTCTTGGCACCCCAGGCAGAGATGTGTCAAAAGCTTGCAGCAGAGTGAACTGAGAAATTTAGAGAAATGCTCCTATTTATTTGAGTCCATTTATTTAGTGAGAAATATAAGTTAAGAAATGGTGGCACTATTACTGGTAGCTGTAGAAAGGCTTTTAAAATAAGTTCAGCTGGTTCTTCTTTATCAGAAAGCTCAAAGCAGGAGGTTCGTGCTGAGAAACCAGGTCCAGGCCCAGGCAGGAAAAGACGATGCGTTAAAATCCAGACTTGGTTTTGTTCAGAACAATGACGTGTCAATGAGATTACAACGGTGCGTTGGTTCTGTCCTGGACAGACACAATGCGTTGCATTACTGATGCAACGCATATAATCCACTTCGTTAATAATTGAAATGGTCTGGACATCGTTCTGAACAATATGCACCAATGGAACCTTAGTCTCCGTTTAAATGGCTGTGTGTGAGAGTAAGAACAGATAAGCGGGCCAGTGGCTTATCAGCTGTCAGATCGCCCTGTCTGGTCTGACCTAGCTGGCTCTTATTTATCCAAACCACTGAGTCACATCTGATATTTCTGTCTCCTGAAACTGGAAATGACAAGTTCTCACCCTCAACAAAAGCCATGTCTTTTGGCCAAGTGAAAATAGCCTGGTGGAGACTCTGTTGGCTTGTTTCTCTTCTAAAGGTTTTATAAACTTTCTGACACTGCATGGTGTCATGAAGTTTTTTTTCTAAATGCCGGGACATTTCTATGGTGGCCCTGAAGTGCAAAGCGCTACAGCAAATTGAAAGCACAATTACAAATAACAAAAACTACATTACGTAGTGTTTTGTTAATGTTGTGTTTTCATCCATGTTGTAGTTTTTTCCTTAATGTTGTAACGCTTTTGTCATTTGTAATTGTGCTTTCAAATTGCTGTAGCGCTTTGCACTTCTGGGCCACCGTACATCTCACGTAAAGATCTGGTAGTAAACTGAAAATGTTTCACCGTTCGCCTTTTCTATGATAGCTGCATTTCTCTTGACAAAGAGATGAATGTAAAGAATTAACAGCAGGGCAGTCAACACCTGTACAACCAGGGACTCCATGAAAAACATCAAGAACAAATTCCCCGCTCCCATGCACAGGATACTGATGCCACCATTATATTTAACCAGGTGTTGTGTGGGGGACAAAAGCATATTTTCGCCTTTTACTCACACTTCTTTTCTTTCATTTTCTCAAAGATGGTATATTCAGTTGGAAATGTTGTTTTGTCTTTGTCACAAATAAACTAGAGCAGCTGCTCAGTCATCAAAACGACGTGTCCTTACTGTGGAGCCGGCCTCGCCTGCTGGTCCGAGCGCAACGGCGACGTGATGGTCAGCGTCCAGCAGACTCTCCTGCAGGAGCACAAGGACAGAGACATCAGGACAGGCTTTGAAATCACCTGCAAGAGTGAGTGAAAATAGCCATTTGTCTCCATGTGTTAGTTCTGTGATTGACTGGTGAAAGACCAGCCTGCCTCTCCTCCATGACTTTTTAATGATAAACAGCGACTGCTGAGTAATGGCTGAATGCTCGCGTCTGTAAAGTGTCAACAACAAACGAGCTGCAAATCCCTCCAGAGCCACGGGTGACATTCTGCCCGTCACAAACCAGAGCATAGCATTTTAAAACTAAAAACAAATACACACGAAATTGAGCAGATTTCATGTTTACAACCAACAGGCACCAGTTTAAAGTGTGGCAAAGAATAAAAAAATGACATATCAAAATAGTTAGAGGTAAATACAAGTCTATTTGGTTTAGACTATTTACATTTTGTTTTCTCATTTCAATAAGTTCAAATCACAATGAAAAAAAGTATTCCACTGTACGAAAAGTGTCAAGATAGAACGGTGAGGTTTTTGCAGTGATGGAGCAAATTATCATGTTGTTTAGTCCTTTGGATCAATGATCAGTGATTCACCACAAAAAGATATTATTGAACCAAATAAAAGACAAATCTCAGGTGTATGGAAAAAACTAAGGCTGCAATATTCTGCCTTTGCAGCAGAAGATTGCAGAAGATTTAATAATATAAACTCATATATTGGATAGTTTGTTGTTTCAAGTGAGCAACAGCAGCTTTGTCACTTGCTCATTTACAGCATTCTTTATCCAATTTTTTTTCCATTTAGTTAAACATTTAAACGCATTAACAATATGAAAATTGTTTACTGTCTTGAGTTTATTTTGAAATGGGTCAAAGGCAGTGACAGGTGTTGTAAAGAGATGCTCATCATAAAGCGCATAGAGCTGAAAACAGCATCAGGCCTCCTGAACAACGACATAAGAGGCAGGTGAGGAAAGACGGCAACAATACTTTAAAACCAAAAATACAGTTCAACAAATCTCATAAAAGATCAATACATCACAGATAAAATGTAACAAAACGGATGGACACAAAACAAATTAAGAGAAGAGAAATGACGTGGCCATCCTCTTTAACCTGTGTTCAATCTGGACGAGCTCCATGTTCTGGAGAACTGGTTCGATTTACGCCTGCAGCAAAAGAGAGACACGTCTCCTCTGCCATTAAGCGGATTTGGACAGCAACTTGAACCATCCGCAGGGACCACAAACAGGTAGCGCACAGGAGGGGTTTGCTTCCATGTCAATAAAACTACTATACCCTTGCTCTATATGCATAAAAGTGCTTTTGGGACTTGTATTTATTTGGTGGGTTAACTTTAGAATCCCTTCTTGGTGATCTATTTCCCATAAGCAGTCAACTAAACCAATATTAAACTTGGAAAGACATTCAGATGTTTTCTGAATCCAACTTACTTCAAATACCCACAAGTCCTCTGGTTCCTCATCCAGATGCATCTTGGTCTGGCGCAGCACTGTGCCCTGTGCGAGCGGCTCGGGCGACAGGTGAAACTCTGCCCTGTGCAGGTTGAAACCCAGACCTGTGCCGATGGCCTTGATGAAGCTCTCCTTCAGGGTCTTGGTGCAAAAATCAAGAGAAAACTTGATTAGTTAACGTGCACGGATAAAGAAAATGTTGCGCTTGTGTGAATAAAGCTGAGAGTCTGAGCATGGGGAGCGAGTGTGTCTCTGTGGTTCAAACTCCAACAGAAGAATCCATGCACACGTGTTAAAAGGCGTGCATACAAACGAGGGGCTTTATGTCTCTGTGTGTGCCCAGCCAAAACCAGCCATGCTCCGTGGCCAATAAGCCACAATAACACCATTACAGGACTAATCACTATGGCAACCGTTGAGCTCTGCCATTAGTCAACAGTGCGGTGGTGATGTCAGAGCTTGACGTCTCTGAGCCGCCCTCTCATTCTCACAGCATCTTTACTTAGCTCAGCACTTGCTTACAGTGGCCATCTGTGTTCATGTTCATGTCTTTGAAGAAGAAATGGAAGACAGGAAACAAAGGCGAGGATTGTGAGAAGGACATAACGCGGTACTGACAAACGGGAGATTAGAGGAAGAGAGAAAAGTGGAGGTGAAATTTGAATCAAAAGGAGGTCAAGCGTCAATGTGGAAAATGTAAAAAAAATGTTTCTCTCTCTCTCCCTCTCACACACACACACACACACACACACACACCACCGCCTGTGGCGCCCGGCAGCAATGCAGTGTGATGACAAGGTAGTATGGTTGCCATGGTTACCCAGTGGCGGTAGAACGCGGCAAGCTGCTGGCGCTCCGAGCCGGCTGATTGGATGGCGCTCCATTCGTGCGCTGTAAACTGACGAGTCATGATGCGGAAAAACTCCGGGATGGAGTTGCTGCCTGCAGGAGACGGAGACACGAGGACGCAGACATGAGGGGAGGAAAAAGAGTGAGCAGGTGGAAAATAATACGCAAAATATTACTTTTTGCATATTTCCATATGCATGACATACAAAAGGAAGTCACGCCCTTAATTATCACAATGCATATTTGATTGTTGTGACTGAACACACAAGCTTGGACCTACATTTTAAAATTGCATTTCCTATGAACATTTTTGTTAGACAACAGCGACACCTTGTGGATAACTTGTGAAACTACAAATCTAATCAAGGGCCAGGGAATAAAAAAGTTCAATGCAATCAGCTGTAGAAATGGATGAATTATTGTGAATCTCTCATGACACTGCATTTACAGTTGCATTTACAGTTGCATTGAAACACTTAATAAAAACTCTAGAACTCTCATATTTGCTTTTATGTAGCAGTAAAACCCATGTGTAAGCCTCAGCCTTCACCTGGCAGTGTGGTCTTCATCACATCTACTCCAACCTGCACCCCCTGCTGTGCAGCAAGCACAGCATAGTCGCCCTGGTGGGAGATGTTGAAACTCCAGGATGGATCAGAACCAGCAGTGACCTGCATCGTTTTCAAATGCATAAAAAAAAGGTGTCTGGTTGAATTGGTGCGTCTTGACAGTCAGGTGAAGCTCCAGGTGAAAAAGAAGACAAAGGAGAGCTTTGTATACAAATAGTGTTCCAACAGGCAGAACATTGTGATGCTTGTGTATGCAGCACTGGGGATGCCTGGATGGGCTAAATGTGACCCAAAGGGCCAGCAGTGACACTTCAACAATCACAATCCAAGTCACAAAATAAGTTGCAAGTCTAGTTCTTAATGTCCCAAATAAATTGGAACTTATTGAGGGAACTGACAAATGTAAGAGTGGTTATCATAAGAAGGAAATACAACAACAAAAACAACTAAACAAAACATAATAGATATTAATTTCACATTGTTGGGAGTTCCATGTGTCTCAGGCTTAATGGGTTTCAAACAGTAAGGACAGAATAAACAAACAAACAAACAAAAGAAGCATGAGGAAACACTGAACCTTAAATGAAACAAAGTGTTTACCTGGAGAGGAGCAGCTAGATATGGTTTCCCTCGAGGGGATCTGCTCAATCTGATCTGCGACCAGGGGATTCCCATCATCTCACAAACAAACTTCCTGAGCAGCAGCCGGCCAGCCTGTGGGCACAAATCGTTGACATTATAACCTGACAGGTGATTCAAGTCGCCAGCTGTTTCTCAATAGCATAAAAAATAATAACATGGTAAGCTTAATCATCAAATCAATCTGAAGTTGTTAGGATTCCTGTTTCTAAGGAAGTTTTCATCACCTTACTGAACTTCGCAGCAACTGCTGCATATCTATCTTTTCTTGGTGTCTATTCAGTCAGAGTGCATTTTACTAAATCGATGACAGTGTGCAAGTTGATCAGTCTACAAGTTATTTTCCGTTCATGCATTCTGACTGGAAAGGCAGCTGCAGCAGGTGGGCAAACACTGCAGACCAAACTCACCATCGCTGACTTAGCGTCCTTAGCGAAGACAAACTGTCCGATCCTGTCCTTCTCTTCTTGCTGGACACACCGAGCCGCAAACAGCCACTCGGACCTGCTCGGTGTCCACGACCCGCAGCGGAAGCCCCAGCGGACAGAGCCCATGCCTGCTCAGCTCCTCCTGCAAAACTCATCTTAACTCCTGCAAAACTTCCCGCTGGTCACAAGAAGCTACCTTTAGCATGGCGTCCCAGCACAAACACACTTAACTGTGTTGTATTTAAGGTCTTGGGGTCGCGGAGAGACACAGATGAAGAAATGTTGGGGCTGGTAAACCACAGCAGATGAAAACTAAACCGCCCTTTCTGTTTACGTTGCTTCTTTGATGACGCTACGTTCACCCGGAAGAGCAAAGTGGGAGAGGTTCAGGCTTGGCCAATACGAGCGTCTGAAACAGCGAGTTGCCTTCATGTACTCTCAAGAACGTCGGAAATAAGAAGTAAACTAAAGAGGCGTAAGATTGTTTGGTAAATTTCTTAGTAAAATCCGATTAATATGACATGAAGTTTACAGAAATAATATGCTCTCAGTCAGTCTAACTTTCTTAATCTGTATGTTTTAGATTCCATCCATCCATCCATCCATCCATCCATCCATCCATCCATCCATCCATCCATCCATCCATCCATCCATCCATCCATCCATCCATCCATCCATCCATCCATCCATCCATCCTGTCGCACAGAAAATTAAGTTTTTATTCTAAATTGTGAGACATTGATTTAATCTGCATGGTACTCATTAAAAACAAAACCAAACAAAACAAAAAAAAAAAAAAAAAAACGGAAGTGACAATAAATAAAGTTAAGCAAAAAAAAAATTTATTTAAACAGAAAATAACGGTTTGGCGTATTCTCCGTGGTTGGTGGACAAGTTGAGCCTCAGAAATGCTGGAATCCGACTGACCTGAAAAGCAACTGGAATTACATCTCAGTGGTGTGGTTAGCTTTTTCACATATTACAAATAAATAATTACAAATAAACCGGATCTTATTATCTAAGACAGTTCCAGGATATGATTGGTGTTCTCTGGTTTAGACGCATGCATCCATTATTATTATTATTATTATTATTATTATTATTATTATTATTATTATTATTATTATTATTATTATTATTATTATTATTATTTAGCCATTTAATTAATTGATTGGCCTGTCAATATAGAAAGACAGCCAATGAATCCTACAAAATATTAATACTATAAATCTTGCAGAAGGCAGTTGCACTCTGAGTTGTTGTAACATTTAGGCATAATGTTTATTATTTTGCTTTCATTTAGTTTTTTTATTATTTTTTATTATTATATAAAGGTATTCAGTCAATCAAACTAAAAATTAGAAAAACAAAACCTCGCTGCAGTTACAGCTGCAAGTTTTTAAGTTGTCTCTGGTAGTTTTGGACATCAAGAGGCTAAAAGGTTTGTCCCTTTGTCTTTGCCAAGTGGGTCAAATTCTGTCAGCTTGAATGTATAATTGTTACTGAACTTTAATTTTTAATCTTTGCCACATATTCTCAGTTACATTTATGTCTGAACTTTAACCATTCCAATGTATTAATATGTTTGATCTAATTCATCTATAAACCAAGCTATTTGTGCAGGGCCTTTTTTCTGCTGTTTTTGCTTATTATTATTATTTAGCCATTTAATTAATTGATTGGCCTCAGAAATGCTGGAATCCGACTTTTTGTAGCAGCTTATCTTTTAGTATTTCCCTGTATGTTGTGCTAACCTTCTTCCAATCAGCTCTGCCCATTTCCCTTTCCCACCTGAAAGTGAACCATATTTCATGGTGGGCATCATATGTTCAGTAAAATGTGGTATTTTGCACTTTGGTAGAAAATGTCAAAGTTTCTTCCACAGATTTGATGTGACCCCCACCTGACCTGTCTGATATGTAAGATGTACTTCATGATGCTATTTATTCTTCAATCTTTCAATTTTAATCTTGAAAGAAATTCAGACAACAATTGAACATATTAAAATGTGAAAAGTTCAAGAAGCTTTCACTAGTCGTATAGGTAATTAAGAGCAGTTTATGCAAATAAATCTAGGTTAAAGTTGTTTTTCTACATCTGAGATTTTTCCACTCAACATAATCAGCTACATTGTCCACATTCAACACTTTGTTACCACAGGTCTGGTAAGTCATCATTGAATTTCACTGTTCAGACTGAATTTCTTCAGTTAATACCTTTGTCTTTTTAAAAGCCATCCAACCCCATTACTACTAAAGTATCAAACCTCAGTTGACTCTTCCTGTCTGACTAAAAACGTCGACTGCTGAATCCCGTCGGTCTGCCACAACTCTCGGCTCACTTGGCGACAGCGCAGATCAGGATATAAAGGTGCAGCACCCTGCCAGCCCAGCCATAATATACTCTACGTGTCTGTTTCCACATCAAATCAGAACCTTATGAAGGCAGCAGAAGGAACCTGTCTGAGCCAAGCGTGAAGAAAGAAATATCTATAGATGGTGCACTTTCCTGGCCTCCCTGCTGCGATTTCCTCGCTTAGCTTGCTTCTTTCCAGCTGGTATTTCCTTAACTCCAATTCTCACACACACCCACACAGAGACAGCGTCTAGGAACAGCTGGCATCCGTCTCCTGGGAGGTGGAAAACTTCACACAGTCGGCTTGAGTCACAGAGGAAGTCTCCTCGAATGAGAACTGCAATACTTTTGAAACTGAAGCTCCTCTGCTAGACACTTGCTAACATTTATTGCTGACATCCACACACCTTGAAGTCTAAAGATTAATTCTCCCCCTCACTTTTATGTCATCTCTCGATTGCTCTTTCTTTCCTCCATGTCATTTAATCTCTTCATCTATTCCTACTTTTGTTTGTCTGCTTTTACCTTATTGTATCACCTCCTCTCAGTTTCTTCTTGTATATCTGTGAGGTTTGGCCCCCCTCCTTTGCTCCTAACTGGATTTCCTGCAGTTAAAGCATCTGAAAAGTAAAAGAAAAGCAACTGCAGTGTCAGAGAAACAGAGGTTCTTATCAGGGAAGTCCACAAAGAGGGGAGATGTGTTGTTCTCCAAACAGCAGGCGGAGGTTTCCTTGTCTCTTCCAAAGTGATGTATCCAGTGGTGTGGTGCAGAAGCACAATCCGTCCTGTGGATACTGACTAAAGCTTGCATAGTTCTGTTCATTATTAACAGGCTGTGTCATTTTGAAGAACGTAAGGATCTTTCCCTGAGTTTAATTGAAAATGAATCAGTTGGAAGAAAACCTAAACTACTCAAAGAACGATGAGTCCATTGATTCTCTGACTTACATTCTTCGAAAGGGGAAAATATGAATAAAGACTTTTAGGTGGACATCTTTGAATAAAGCAAAACATAAAGTTAGGAGTCCTTGAGAAAAATTTCAGAAGACATAGTAGAGAATTGTTTTTAAATCACATTTTCTATTCCATCACTGATTAAATGGGTTTTGTGTGCTTTGTTCAGAAATTTTGTTAGCTTCAGACAAGAACAACAGTAGTTCATTTGAATACCACTGTGAAGACATGTGGAAATCTGTGCTGTTCAAGGCCAGTAAATGCTTCCTGACAGGAAAAACAGAGTATCACTGGTTGGACTTGGGACTACACAGACATGGATTGTTTTTGCAAATTAGGTATTTTATTTAATTTGACAGCATTCTGAATTACTCCTACACATCTGCAGCACAGCAAGAGCTCCCTGTTTCCCTGCAACACTGAATCCGAGACAATAATCCATGTTAGTGTTGTCAGACCAAAACAGTCTAATTGCCGGTTCTTGTTGTTTTCTTCTCTGTGGGTCTGAGCAAAAACGCTGCAGATAATGAACTGAAGAGGCAGAGGTGGGAAGACGTGGCACAAGGTGTGAGTGTACTTTGGGGAGTGGGAGATGCGTTCTGAAGGAGAAGTGCATGTAATCTTCAAAGCATAGTTTGATGCACTTAAGCTTGATTTCTAATCAATCCACAGTTCTGTTGTTTTCCGAATTAATTTCTGTTTCGTATCTGCCTCGGAGGTGAAGCGATGTTGTGACAGCTGAGCTTCCTTTCTCCTCCCCAATCTCATTCCTGGCAGTGAAGCCCGAGTGCTGTCATTCCTCTCCTGAGCACAAAGCTGCCTCTCCTGGGTTGGGATGTGAACAGCTGCCTGACCTCTGTGGCTTCCCAAAGGATGGAAAGTGTGAGTGGCCAGAGCTGATAGAGCTCAGTGAGCCGAGCGGTGCGGTCTGTGGTGGCTCATGTGGGTGGGAAGATGGAGACCAACATCTGTGAATACGACGTGAGAAACATAAACTAACAGGCCAAATGTTGGCAGAATCACCGCATGTTAATTTTACTGTGCAATTATTAATAAACCAATCCACATGGCATCCACAAATTGAATTTAGTTCTTTATGAGACATAAAACATAAAGTATCACATATTTGCTAAGCACGACTGGAAAGGACGTGTGTTTTTCACTACACGTGTCGTCTGGAAATGTTTTATTGTGCGTTTATCTTCGCAAAGGAGCTCAAGCTCAGTCAGAATGGATGAAACCTGTCTGAGAGTGGAGGCTTTAAAGGTCTTGCTGCAGATTTTGAATTGGACTTAATAACAGACTTTGACCCATTCTGAGGCGTTATGTAAACCATTAAATGGTAGTCTGGTCTGTATTTGAAACAACTCTGTTAACTGGGTTTTATTTATTAGGTTTTCTTCTACTTTACATCCCCTTATATAATACTTAGTGCTGGTCTGTAGAATCCCAATATAAAGTATATAGATTATAATTTAACATAAGGAAATATTTTTAAAAATCCATGGAATTAAATACCTTTCTGAAAAATATTTAAACAAACAAAAGAATCCAGTACGTCTTTGCCTTGCACCCCGTATTACCTCTACCCACGTTAATTCTTTCAGCTGGTGTTGACATTCAAGAACAACGTTTATGATAAGCAGCAGAATTAATGTCCCCATTGGCAAATGTTTTAAACGTCAGGATGGTCATGTGTTTCACACAAGGTGGAAATGATCATCAGAATGTGTTAACCAAGAATTAAATAGAGTTTGACTTTGACATGTTGCTGTTTTGTAGATATTTGCTTCTAGATCAATACCAAATCACGACTCATATATTGTGTTTGAAAATGTTAAAATTGAATTAGCTATACCGGAAAAAAAAAAAAAAAAAATTCTTGTGCTTTTTTCTTATTACTAACACATTTGACATAACACAAAACAAGCAAAGAAATTGCAATTGCAGACATTTTTTCTAGAAGTATTTCAGAAAAATCACTTTACAAAACATAAAACCAGAACCACTTTATCCAGCGCATCACTGCTAGCC